AATATCATGTTCTGCCTTTTTAATATTTCCTAGAATGTTTCATTTTTCTAGGAGAAGGGTGGGTACTAACTTCCTACTTACTTGTCCCAGTTTCTGCCAACCTAGCAGTTCGAAAGTATGTAAAAGTGCTAGTAGAAAAATAGGCACCACCTTTGGTGGGAAAGTAACAGTGTTCTGTGCTCCTTTGGCATTTAGTCATGCCGGGCACATGACCACGGAGAAATCTTTGGACAGCGCTGGGTCTTCGGCTTTGAAATGGAGATGAGCACCGCCCCTAAAGTTGGGAAAGACTAGCACATATGTGCGAGGGGAAACTTTACTTTTACTGATACAGGAATCAATTTATTCCACAGCAAATAGCAATAGCACTTAGATTTATATACCGCTTCACAGTACTTTTTATAGCCCACTCTTAAGTGGTTTACAAATGTCAGCATATTGCCCTCAACAATTGGGGTCCTCATTTTACTCACCTTGCAAGGCTGATTCAACCTTGAGCCTGGTGAGATTCAATTTGCCAAATTGCAGGCAGTTTGCAGAAGTAGCCTGCAGTACTGCATTCTAACCACTGTGCTATCACAGTTCTTTAAATAGTTTTAAAAAGCTTTCACTGATGACAAAACTCACTTAAATGGTGAGATTCCTAGTTAAAAGTAAAAAATTGAAATATAGTAAACAGAAGCACAACTGAAAAGGTATCCTCTAGGCATCACCCATCTCAGGTCCAATGTGTAGAAGATCATAGAGTTACAACAACACTTAAAAGAAGTGACTTACGACTGTTTTTCACACTTATGAATATTGCAGTACATATGAATATTATCCATAATCACATGATCAAATTTGAGCACTTGGCAACTGTCATATTTGTGACAGTAGCAGAGTCCTGGGGTCATGTGATCAACTTTTGCAATTTACTGACAAGCAAAGTCAGTGAGGAAGCCAGATTAGCTTTAGTAACCATGCTACTAACTTAACAACTCTATTAATTCCCTGAACACCTTGGCATAGAGGGCCATAAAGTGGGAGGAGAAACTCATTTAACAACTGTCTTGATTTGCAACAAAAATCTTAGGCTCAGTTGTGATCGTAAGCCGAGGACTACCTGGAAATACTTTGTAATTTTTTATATCACTCTGAACACTGTTCATACATTTTATGCATTTTAAATACACTGCATGCATTTTATGCATATATAACATTTAATGTGTATTTAATAGCTTGTCAGCTCTTCTGGACATCACTTTCCCATTATTACTTTGTGAAATTCAGGTTTGCCGTGCTTCTGTCCTATTTTATAGCTTAAAAGTTATAGCTTTCAGTAATTTAATACCCTCCATATGTATTCAGATAAAATGCATCATCTCCAGCCATCCAGTTAGTTGTCCTTCAGCACAGCTGGGGAGCATCAGGCTATATAAAGATGTTTTAACATTCAGGAAATTAATACAATTGAATTTTTGTTTTAGTAATATGGCTCCTGGTGTTTTGTTTTGTTTTGTTTTCTTCCCTCTCTTTAACATGATTTATTCTTTTGTTCCCTAGGAGTCAGAACAAGAACCTGGAAACGTAATGATGGGCTTAGAAAACTTCTCAAAACTAATTTGAAGGAAAATGCATCAGTACGCACAAAAGTGGGCCGATCAAAAGAAGCATGAACAGTAATTCTGAAGTAAAAATAAACCTTTGTATAATTTTGATTTCTTAGCAAAAAGTGTAAAACTAACAATTCCTCTGCCACTTTCCCCATATGTGGTGACTTTGGAAATTAAATTTGCAAATGCTTTTAATGCCCATATCTGGCCTCTAGTTTATTATGTAATTAGAACCCTCATCAGACTTAAGGATTGAACAGGACAATATTGTTCAATATCTTTGGTTGTCTGAATGCAATTTTGTATCATTTTTTCTTAACATGCTGTGTAAATTACAGGATGTGTTTTCTTTCACATTCCATACCACAAATGTTTCCAAACTGAAAGTTTTCATATGTACTGGACTATCATTCCCCACATTCAATTTTGTCTTCGATCATGGGAGTTTTAGTCCAAAACTTCTAGAGATCAAAATTGCTAGAGAAATCTCCTTGTATGTAAAACTATAAGTTGTCTTCAGAATGGGTCGTGCCAATTGATTCCATGTCTTTAGGTACTTTTAACAAACTCTTCTGGACTTATTGAATATTTTTTCCAACTTAAAAAAATACTATTCAATATCTATTTTAATTGTAACATTAACAATTTGATGCAAACAGAAGTCATGAATCTTGTTCTTCATTTTTGTTAATATTCTGCCTATTTGGGGAATACATTCCAAAAAGTATTTATTTAAGGAAGGTATTAACTAATGTTTAGTTTTAAATGTTTTACTTAACTTCCCGAACAACTGAAATGTTAAAATACATCTTTGTATATTTACGGTACATTTCTTATAATGTGTTTTGGGGTGTGTGTGTGTTGTAGGCTAATTATTGTGAATAAAATTTTCAGTCAAAATTGTATCTGTAGCTTTTTACATTTTTCTGCTCTTAAAATCAATGCCTTTTAATTTTTATTCAATATAAACATATAAAATTATCCCCATGGATTATATTCTCCCTGTTATAGACAAAAGTATTAAATTTCCATTAACTGAATTTGGCCAAAGCCAACTTCTTCCTTTCCACCGAGAAGCATCCAAGCTTAATCCAGATGCTTTTGTCTCCTTAGCAATTCCTCACTGTGCTGAACAATTCAACAATATGCCATTGCAGTAATAAACATTGAAGATTTTGGGTAGAATGAAAGCAAGGGCAATAAAAGGAAATTATGAAACTAGAGTAAAGGGGCGAGAGGGGCATTGAATAACAAGTGATTTAGAATATTAACCGAGAAATATAGCAATAGCACATTTGATTTATATACCACTTCATAGTGCTTTAACAGCCCTCTCAAAGCGGTGTAAAAAGTCAGCATATTGTCCCCAACAATCTGGGTCCTCATTTTACTCACCTCGGAAGGATGAAAGGCTGAGTCAACCTTGACCCTGGTGAGATTTGAACTGCTAAATTACAGGCAGTGGGCAGGCAGCAGAAGTAACCTGAAGTACTGCACTCTAACCACTGCACCACCACGGCTCTTAAATTAATATTAATATAATAATATATGCATTAAATATAAATTAAAATATGACAGTCATGTTAGGATTGTTTTTTAAGCATGTGTTTTGGGGAATAATGCTAAATTGGAAAGTCTGGAATATTATTTCAAGATAGCTCATTGAAAGAGAAGTGTTTCAATTATACAACTTGAACAAATGTGAATTTGCATTGACTGGTTTAGTTTGTTAAAACTATTTTTGTAAGTAACACAGAGAAGAAAATAGCTGCGAGGTTTTCTTCCAGGAGCAGCAATTGATGCCATCAATATTCTTGGTCATGTCCATCATTTGGCTCCTCACATAGCTGGTAAACACTGAGAGTTCTTATGTCTTGCTCTCAAAATACTAAATCTATCTACCGGCCCTGAAATGTTGTCTTCCCTGGCTTGTTCAGTTTCTCAGATTTCATCAGTAATTGCCTGTTATGAACCTTGTCCAGTGCAGTAGCACATAATGTACATAACTCAGCATTTTGATCAAATCATCAAATATGGTTTAATAATCTTTGGAAAATCCATAGACAAAGCATAGATTAAGTCTGATACCTTTGAGGAAAAATGTGCTAAGTTGGCACAAAAGCCTCATCTGGAAGAGCATCAGCTATCAAACATGTTTCTGATAATTCTGTATGATAAACAAAATTAATGTTAAGGTTTAAAACAAAGAACAAGTTGTATAGATTTTTGTGAAAGGCTGAATATTTTTATTGTTGTATTTCACTGATTATTCACAAACACATTCTGGATATGTGCTGGTGTGGAAACATGTTTTTAATAAGACATTATTTATTTCAATGTCAACAACTACTGTTTCAAAGAAAGAAAGTCTCATCAGACATCTGCAAAGAAAGAAGAGAAATTAGGGTAAATTGGCTAGCTTCTCTTCCCTCTATCGCCATTGTTGCTATTCTTTGTGTGACTTACAATCCTGAATTTTCAGCTCCTAAATCTCCCCCGAAGCGTGTACAGATTGAAGAATAGTGATTGTGGGCAGGGAATACCTATAAATGGAAGAGGGCCAAAGTAGTAAAGACAACAGTCATAGGGCAGGAAAACTTGTCCCTGCTCTAATATGCTTTTGTTTAAAATCCTGCTTTCCAGATTTTGCAACATAGAAAATTATAATGCCTTCAATGAGCTCTAAAATAAAATATATTTAGAAACCATCTAACTTCACCTATCCACAGACGGTGAACAGTATAAGACTGCAATAATGAAGTGTCAAGTGGCAATGAGTGTTTTATGTTCTTAGCTTGTAATAAAATTGGGGTGTGCTTTTCTCAGAAGGTTTCCACAGAAAATGCCATAACAGAAAATGGCCTCTTTCCTAGTTAATATTAAATATTTGTAAATGGTTGCATAATCAGAAGAGCATCTACTCAACTGATGAAGGCAGATTTGTATCAAACAAATGTGTATTTGTATCACATTGACTGATTGTTTTGGATTCTTCCGAGGTCGGTAAATTGAGGACCCAGATTATTGGGGGCAATATGTTGACTCTAAACCACTTAGGGTTATAAAGTACTGTAAAGCAGTATATAAGTCTAAGTGCTATTGCTATTGTAAGTTAAGATCCACTAAAAATAAAATGAAGCTCATACCTTGTGGATACATGAATATATAATACATAAGCAAGAACTTTGGAGAAGACTGAATCTTGGAAAATGGAAGGCAATAAAAAAAACTAACAACTGATAACATAGTTAAGTAATTTAGCTTGTGATATGTTATCACAAGCATGAGCTTACAAGTATTCAAAGAAGCAGTTACAAGCAGATGATTTTGCAATCTGTTGTCCATTGAATGATTAAGTAAAGTATCTTAGAGTTAGTTTCCAGGACAAGCAGAGGCCAATTTTTTTTCCTCCTCTAAATCTAGTTGCGTCTTATAGACTGAAAAATACGGTATGTATTTCATGACATTGCACTTAGATCTTTCCTTTGCTTTTCAATGTTCATGTGCCATAGGTACAGTCTCCCCTCATGCTGCCTTCATAGCAGCAACCTTTGTGAGAGAGAACTGAATCTGCATCTTCCCAATCCAACATTCTAACCCTCCCACTAGACTGATAGTTGCTAGAAATTATACACAATAAGCAGTTCTTTAAATTCAACTATTGCTAACCAAATCCTAAATGCAGGTAATAGTGAATATCAGTATCTGAGCATGAAGATACAGAGTCTACAGAAAGAAGCAACAAAACAATCTGGCCACTGCCAACAAGCTTTCAAAAACATGATTTATCACACTAACTTTAACAACTAAACTAGTCCATTTAATATATCTGAAGTTCTATGGAATTTATAAACTTACAGTTAAGGTTTTTAGTGTCCCCACCAACCCATTTTCTCACAGTCCCCAATGCAGGAGAATCGTCTTTCCAGTTGTAATTATATGTGACAAAGTTATGCAGAGTCAATCTGATCCCCATCTGGCTGATTAGAATATGATAAATATACAGGAAGGATGACAAAAATGTACTGTTTGTGCAGCTATGTATTTCACATATAAATCACACTACACAGAGATTGTAATCAGGTGAGATCAAGAGCTGAGGCTGAATAGCATGTTTTCAGCCCATATGTACAATGAAATAATTCCTTGTTTCCTAGTCCTTTATTTTTCCCAAGTATTTCTGCCATTATCAATCACAATCCATTAGCCTTTGCCTTCTATTAAAGTATTCATCTCAAAATGCTTTTTTTAAAATTTTATAAACATATTATGGAATAAAAAGATAATTGATTTGTTTAGATATCAAGTACAAGTTACCGTATTTTTCGGAGTATAAGACGCATCTTTTTTCTTCAAAAAAAGGCTGAAAATCAGGGTGAATCTTATACATCGAAAACAGTGGGTTTTTGCCTCCTGAAGCCCCGCCCCCTTTACCAAAATGGCTGTGCATAGCTTTATGGAGGCTTTCATAGAGCTCCTGGGGGCTGGGGAGGAAAGAAATGAACGAAAAACGGCAGCACTCTATAAGTCTCCATAAGGCTATGCATACAATTTTTTGATGAAAAATGGGCTGTTTTTTGTTTGTTTTTGCCCCCTCTCCGGAGCACTCTGCAAGCCCCCCCCCAAAGCTATTCATACCTTTTTTAAAAAAGGGAGCCGTTTTCGCAAAAAATGGGGCGTTTTGGGGAGGTTTACAGAGTGCAAAAAGATTCTTTTTTTTCTTTTGGGAAGCTCTTTAACTGATTGATGAGAATTACATTGATCAAGTGCTGTGCCAGCAGAAACACCTACCTACTGTATTTATATTTGTGTGTGTACAAATATACATTTTAAGCCCAAAACCCAGCCTGAAGATGGTGAGTGAGACCTCGCTGAAACGTTGCCAAGACAGTTTCAATCTTACACGGGAAAAGACCCGAATACAACAAGCCCAGCATACCTTCACCCTCTACCTACCTACCTACCTACCTACCTACCTACCTACATACCTACATACATACATACATACATACATACTCTCTCTCTCCCTATCTACCTACTGTATTTCTCTATCCTTCTACCTACCTACACTCTCCCTCCTTACCTACTGTATTTCCCTCTCTCTCTATCCCTCTACCTATCTATCTACCAACACACACTCTCTATTTCTCTCTCTCTCTCTATCCCTTTATCTACCTACCTAACTACTCTCTCTCTCTCTCCCTACCTACCTACTGTATTTATCTCTCTTTCTCTCCTTATCTATCCCTCTATCTACCTACCTACTTTTAAAAAAAATGCCTCTTCAAAACCTTGGTGCATCTTATACTCCGAAAAATACAGTACCTCTTCCATGCACTGGTATAGATAGGCATTTAACCATAGCTGTTGTGATCTAATAGAAAGGAAACCATATGAAAATAATTGGGATCCTATTTAATACTAATTTTTAGATTCTTCATTAGGATAAATCCCTGCTGTCTTGTTCATAATATCTTAGATACCTAAAGGTTCATGGGTAGTCAATGATTCATTTTCCTGGCTATGAAGAAGTACAGCACTGTGTTCTTATGTGTGGGTTGTTTGGTGTGCTAGCAAGTCTGATCTTTGTATATTTGGCATTTGCATTTGACGTACATTTTTTGACTACTGAAACTTCAACTTGAGTCCTAAATCAGAACTTCCTGGAATGGTAGAGAGGAATTTGCTTGTCATCTTTGACATGGAGTGCTGGTAAGCTCTCAGAAACCTTGTAGGAGCTGAAGGTTCAATATATATGG